TGCGTTATGACTTATGAATAAAGTATATATACTCTCTCCTACTTAATTTTCCCTTCGTAATAAGAGTCCCCACTTCTTTCCTTTATATACACATCGCATAACATGTGAACTTCTCAACACAACACACCAAATCTCTCTCTTCGTCTCTCTCTTTTTCTCTATCTCTCCCTCTCTAGATGATGCCTCCTAATGAGCAAGAATCTAGCTTTCCGAAAACACCGGGCGCAAACCGACACGAAACTAGTCCGGTTCAAGAAAACCGGTTTAGCTCTCCAAGTCATGTAATCCCATGCCTTGACGATGACCACGACGGTCCGAGTCACCAATCCAGACAGTCTTCTGTTCTACGTCAATCTTTACGTCCTATAATCCTCAAGGTCGTGAAATTAATATATATCATAAATTATGTAATTTTCCTTTTTGTATGTTTTAAAAAAATTTCGTTGGATTTGTGTATGTAATGAATGCAGTTTGAGGAGTTGTCGTACAGTATTAAATCACAAACCGGGAAAGGAAGCTATTGGTTCGGTACACAAGAACCAAAACCGAACCGGTTAATCCTTAACGGTGTAAGTGGTATAGTCAAACCAGGGGAGTTACTAGCAATGCTTGGTCCATCAGGGAGTGGCAAAACAACGCTAGTAACGGCGCTAGCCGGACGTTTACAAGGGAAGCTATCAGGAACCGTTAGCTATAACGGAGAACCGTTTACAAGCTCCGTTAAACGGAAAACGGGGTTCGTTACACAAGACGATGTTCTCTACCCACACTTAACGGTCATGGAGACGCTAACGTACACGGCTTTGCTCCGTTTACCTAAAGAGCTGACCCGGAAAGAGAAAATGGAGCAGGCGGAGACGGTGGTTTCGGATCTTGGGTTGACCCGGTGTTGTAACAGTGTAATAGGAGGCGGGTTGATCCGAGGAATTTCGGGTGGGGAAAGAAAACGGGTAAGTATTGGACAAGAAATGCTTGTGAATCCGAGTTTGTTGCTTCTTGATGAGCCAACGTCGGGGCTTGATTCAACCACGGCTGCGCGAATAGTCGCCACCTTGAGATCGCTAGCGCGTGGCGGCCGGACGGTGGTGACGACGATTCATCAGCCGTCGAGTCGGCTTTATAGGATGTTTGATAAAGTGTTGGTTTTATCAGAAGGATGTCCTATTTATAGTGGGGATTCGGGTCGGGTCATGGAGTATTTAGGTTCAATTGGGTATCAACCCGGATCCAGTTTCGTTAACCCGGCTGATTTTGTGCTAGATCTTGCTAACGGTAAGTACTAAAGTTTTTTTAGTTATCGTCTACAATTCATACACGCATACGACCGGATTTGAATCCGAGTTATAACACGACTAAGCCACTAGCACAAACTGTTACATGTCCCAATCCATGGTAGGTACAAAATCTATTCGAAATTCATTTTTTTTTTTTTTTTGTAAATCAACTTTTAATTAATTAAACCTCAAACTCCATCTAAGGAGGAGACAATACAAGATAGGATAGCAGATTTTGCCAAAGAATCTATTCGAAATTCATTTATGTTTTATAGTTTGAAAGGGGAAAAAAAATTGAAACAGCTAACTTCGGGTGTAAAGTTATATATACACTTTCTTTTTTATTTGCTCGTGCATCATGAGATATGTGACAACGACAATTCTATCCCATTCTTTGTATACTTATTACGAGTTTTGTCACTTTTTAATTTAAATCAGTTTTAAAAGAGAAACAAAAGGTTTGTTAATAGTGGGATAAATAATGTGGTTATAATATGGTGCTTTTGACTCTATATATAGTATACAATTCTTGATTTTTTTTTTAATGTTTGGAATATATTTTTGCAGGAATTATTTCGGATACAAAACAATATGATCAAGTCGAAATAAATGGAAGATTAGATCGGCTTGAAGAACAAAACTCCGTGAAACAATCGTTGATATCGTCTTACAAAAAGAATTTGTATCCACCTTTGAAAGAAGAAGTGTCTAGAACATTTCCACAAGATCAAACGATCACTAGATCGAGAACAAAGTCATTAACAAGTAAGTCTTGTCAAGGTCCTTATATAACATTCAATAATGACACTTAATTTCGGTATGATCTCAATTATCATAATGACTCGTTTTGGATTTTCGAAGATCGATGGCCAACGAGTTGGTGGATGCAATTCTCAGTTCTACTGAAACGAGGTTTAAAGGAAAGAAGTCACGAATCATTTTCAGGACTTAGAATATTTATGGTCATGTCAGTTTCTTTACTTTCTGGCCTCTTATGGTGGCATTCTCGCGTTGCTCATTTACAAGATCAGGTACAAAAACAAAAACCATGGTATTTAAAATTTTGATTATCTTAAACATAAATAATATTTGACATCAAACAAAAAAAAACAATATATATTACTAATTTCTTTTTAAAAATATAAAGTATATAGGATTATTGTCCAAAACATCATTTTTGCATGACCATTTTTTAATAATTTTTAAATTTACTATTTTTTTTCCAATTGTAAAAACTAAAGATTTTGGAAAAACATTTCATAAAACAAATACTTCATAACGAATAATATACCCTAAGAAAATCTAGAACCTAATAAACCCAAACATCATGTGTAAGTTTGTGTGTTTTGTATATAAGAAAATGGCATTTTGGAAAGTTTTTTTGGCCAAATGGCAAAAATTATAAACACCCCTCAAATATATCTATCCCTTATTAGTAATTGATTCTATATACAAAGTTACAAACTGACAAAATTGATCACACAAAAAATATTTTCTAGTGTTTTAAGTTAACGGGTTTTTAATGAATATTTTAAAAAGATGTTTATTCCATTTCAAATGACTTTTTGTAATTTCTACGAAAAAATAATAATTGATCTGTCCTGCTTATTTACACAAAAATAACAATTCATTGATTAATATATTGATTTTTGGTTATATATAAATTATGCTATTACATTTCGATCTTTAGAATAATTAAAGTCCATTTAACAAGAATATAAATTGTAGTGAAAACTAAAATACAATATTTTAACGTATAATTAAAAGATAAATCGTAGTCCAACCTCATATATTACCTCATTATTAATATTCTTGTTCACTATAACAGGTGGGTTTATTGTTCTTCTTCTCGATATTTTGGGGATTCTTCCCTCTCTTCAACGCCATTTTTACATTCCCTCAAGAACGACCAATGCTTATAAAAGAGCGATCCTCCGGAATCTACAGACTCTCCTCTTACTACATAGCAAGAACAGTCGGCGATTTACCAATGGAACTCATTCTTCCAACGATCTTTGTCACAATCACTTATTGGATGGGAGGCCTTAAGCCATCTTTAATCACATTCCTCATGACCCTTATGATCGTTCTCTACAATGTTCTAGTGGCTCAAGGCGTAGGGTTAGCTCTAGGAGCAATCTTGATGGATGCAAAGAAAGCCGCGACATTGTCTTCGGTGTTAATGCTAGTGTTCTTACTAGCCGGAGGATACTATATTCAACATATTCCGGGTTTTATCGCGTGGTTGAAGTATGTTTCGTTTAGCCATTATTGCTATAAGCTTCTTGTTGGGGTTCAATACACATGGGATGAGGTTTATGAATGTGGATTAGGGTTGCATTGTAGTGTTATGGATTATGAAGGGATTAAGAATTTGAGAATCGGGAATATGATGTGGGATGTTTTGGCTCTTGCCATTATGTTGCTTCTTTATAGGGTTTTAGCTTACTTAGCTCTAAGGAACTTGTGACACCTTTTAATCTGTGTTTATTTAACTATATATAAGGCAAGTGTAAAATATATATAAGCTACGTTATTGTCATCTTTCATTTTTTCTGATTTTTAATAATTATAATCAAGGAAAACAAACCCTACAATGGAAAATCAAAGTGCAGGAACTAACCATTAATTATATTTATTATTAGATCAGTAAATATACACATATTGTTTCAAATTATAATTTTTGTGTTTGAATCTACTGCTTGTTATCGTATCTGATTTACCCATGCATTTCATGCGTGAAAGTTTCAAGTCTCTTTTTTTCAGTTTTAGATATTTATGGAAAAAAATATTCAACATTACAAATTTACAACGTATTGAAATTGGTACGTATTAATATACTAACATGAGTGGCTTTGTGGCCTTAAAATTCTCTATGATTTCAGATTTTTCCTATTGGGCTTTCCTCTATCACTTATTGGAGCAGCAGTCCCATTTTTTTCTTATTGGGTCTGATGTACCATCCCTAATTTTATTTCTCTAAGATGTTTTACATTATGATTCCAAAAGGGCTTTTCCAATAGAATATTTGAGGCTTTTGCTACAATGATAAAAGGGAATTTCAATATTTCAAGCTTTTGCTACATATCACTCAATACAATAGTTACGGTCTTACAGACGTATAAAAGTTTTTATTATGTTGAGCTTATCATTATTTATATCTGAACTACAACAACATAAATCTCCTATGTGAATGATAGAAAATAAAATATATGTGTGTGATTGATTTTTTGTTTCATTAATAGTTGTCAGATGAATGAACTTTCTTCTTTTATGATATCTAGAAGCTTTGATTCCGATCTCCTTTTTTATTCGAATAAAATACAGATAATCGTGATATTAATGACAACTATGAATCCATGACGTCATGGATGATTATAAAGTCACGTGTTAAGGAAGTCAAGAATACTTCCAAAGTCAACTATTCACCCTGTTATATTGCAAAGCCAAAGGGTTAATTTCTAGAATCCAATGACGACGAAACATGATATTTTTCCTGTTTTTTAAAGTCCTACATACAAATTTAAGTAGTGCCATAATCGACAGAAGAAATAATATATTTATTTAGTACTGACATGGTCTGATTTCATTGAATTGTTTGGTTTTAAGATTTTATTGCATTGATATTTATGTACGTCAAGATTAACAACTAAGTTGGTGTGTAGGATTTCTTTTTAAGTTATTGAATCGCTTCACTATATATCACCATTGTTCAAACTAGTAGTTACGTCTGAATCGGTTAATGGGTTAGTGAAATATTCATTATCCAAGAAACCTAATTTCAACAAAGTAATAGTATTAAATGATTGAGTTTCAAAAAGTTCTAACCACACTATTATAAATTATATTGCCGCACATTTTACAGTCAAAGCAATTATGTGTTTGTATTATACTATTAGAAAACTCATTTCTAGATAGACGAATATGTTAGAAATTTGGAATGGTCGCGCAGCCAGACATTATGATGATAATACAATTAGTAGGTGAATGGCATGCATGTGTAACTGAAAAATATCACATGAACAACGTTTAATGAATTGGTTTCATACTTATTAATATTGGATTAACACTCTAATGACTCACGGATCTAAACATTGGTCCAACGAAATATAATGACTAAATTCTAGTATGAAATTACGACGTATTATTAGCTTGTTTTGATCGTCAATTTTTTTTATTGAGTTCTTTTTTTTTATAGAGTTTTTGTTATGTTAGTAATTGATTATTCTGTCGATAAAGTCTATAGTAAACCTTTCTAAAAACATATTTTTACTTAACAAACAACCATTTATTAAATTCTATTATATATATATATATATATATATATATATATATACTTTACCATCCGACTAATTTTTCTAGGGTGAATGTAGATGTTTCACTTATCGAATTTTTAATGAGTTTTAAAAGCATGACACAATTTCGACTGACCAAAGTGATTTAGATAATTTTATGTTTGGAGGAATTAATTCCTAACGGCCTAACATAAACTTATATCACAATTTCTTCTCAAATGAGAACTACTAGACTACCACCATTTGGTTAACTTGTTTTCGTAACTATGAGAAAAATATGATCGTACGTATGAAATGGTATTAGTACACTAGATGACTAGAAGCTATATAATTAAAAGCTAAACCATAAAACCTATCTTCCAAAAAAATTTGTTAGTTTTCTAATAATTAAAAGATAGTCAACAATATAAGGCGTGATAGGTCAAATAAAAAGAGAAATGTTTTTAGTGGAGCAGTAAATTATTTATTTCTAGAGCTTTTTTACTCGACTCCAATAAATTGGGTGATTCTATATAATAGTGATTGGACTATAAACCAAATCTAATCAATTAGAATTATGTAAAAAAATGATAGTTCGAATAATTCATGGAATTGGAAGATTCAAATTCTTCTATTATGATTTCAACAATAGTAAACTATTATAGATTTCTCAAATAATAAGATATTTGGATTCTCGTAAATCTGGATGACTAGTCCATATAATTTAGTTCAAATTTCCGGATGTAAAACAGAAAAAAAGAAATATATATATATTCTAAGAAGCTTCCATGTCATGCATGCATGACTCATAAGAAGAAACGAAAAACAAAATATATAAATAATCAGCAAATCAATAAATTGCTACCATCCACGCCTCTTCCAGCTCTTAATACTCGTCAATTTGTTTGTTTGTTTTTTTTTTTTTAACTTAATAATCGTCAGTTTTTGTTTTGTTTGAAACTATAACTAGAACAAAAAAAAAACTAATGAGTAATTACTCTAGAGACCTGACACAATCATTTTATTAATAGTGATTGGTGTAGTGAATTCGATGAACTGGATAGCAGCAATTCACTTCCTTTCCGCGATTCATCATTTTTTGTATTCAATTCTTTACTGCAACAGAAACAAACTTTAAAATTTAGAAATGAATGAAAGAATTTAAAGAATGAAAAAATCGTATTCGTTAGATCTAATCGATGTAACCATGCATTTAGTTTCCTATTGTGTTTCTAGGCAACAAATAAAGAAATTTCTAAGGTCTTATACATTACCCTATTCTAGAACTAGAAGCAATCTCTCTTTCATCTACGTGTATAAGTCATTTGGAAAATTCGATTGATTATTCTCGACCATATGTATTATTATTCCCCTCGGCAAATGAAGAAACCCGCGTACATTTTTTTGATATTTTCGAAGCAAACAATACTCATGAGAAAGTTGAAACCTCCATAAAAAAGACTTTAACAAAAAAGTCAAGAAACGAGCCAAAAGTAATAAGATTCAAAGTCGTTGTTCAAAGTTGGGTCTCCTTTATAAAAATCTTCTTAGCTTCACACATTTTTAAAAAGCTAAAATAAAAAGACACCATCTTCCATTTTTGTTCCTTAATTCATATCTTAAGATTCATCATTTTCTAACATTCTTTAATTCATTAACCAAGTGTGTTCTCCAAGTATTTTATAGATTTAAAAACCCAAAAATATTTCTTTGTTTTTCTTCAAATTCTTTAAAATTTTCAGACAAAGAACTAAACTAAAAAAGCTATGGCTGGTCCAAGTCGGAGAAGAAGAAGATTACATCTAAGCAAGATCTATTCCTACACTTGTGGTAAATCAAGTTTCCAAGAAGATCACTCTAATATAGGAGGACCCGGTTTCTCTCGTGTCGTTTATTGTAACGAACCGGGTTCTCCGGCAGCTGAACGCCGGAATTACGCCGGAAATTACGTCCGGTCAACAAAATACACCCTTGCTTCTTTCTTCCCTAAATCTCTCTTCGAGCAGTTTCGTCGTGTCGCCAACTTTTACTTTCTTGTCACCGGAGTCTTATCGTTGACTGATCTCTCTCCTTATGGAGCCGTTAGTGCTCTCTTACCTCTTGCTCTCGTCATCTCCGCCACAATGGTTAAAGAAGGTATCGAAGATTGGCGCCGGAAACAACAGGTCCGATCTTTAAAACCTAATCTTTAGTTACACTTTAAAAAATTCTCCGATCTTGAAAAATAAAAATACAATCTTTAGTTCAAAAATAGATTTAGGTACAAAATAAAGTCTCGATTTTTATGAATGTTGAGTTCAAAATTCTATAAAGTATGGATCTTTAAAGAATTATTAAGCCCTAGAATCAAAATTGAATTTTAAAACTATTTTGGGAAATTTTTTTTCAGGATATTGAAGTGAATAACAGAAAAGTGAAAGTACACGACGGAAATGGAATATTCCGGCAAGAAGAATGGAGGAATCTAAGAGTTGGTGATATCGTAAGAGTCGAAAAAGACGAGTTTTTTCCGGCGGATCTTTTGCTATTATCATCTAGCTACGAAGATTCGATTTGTTATGTCGAGACGATGAATCTTGACGGTGAGACGAATCTGAAAGTGAAACAAGGACTTGAAGCAACTTCTTTAATGTTAAATCAAGATTCGGATTTTAAAGATTTTAGAGGCGTTGTTAGATGTGAAGATCCAAATGTGAATCTTTATGTGTTCGTTGGAACTTTGGCTCTTGAAGAAGAGAGATTTCCATTGTCGATTCAACAGATTCTTCTTCGTGATTCTAAGCTTAGAAACACAGAGTATGTGTATGGAGCTGTCGTTTTCACTGGACATGACACAAAGGTACACACTCTGTTCTGTTCTCACTCTGCTCTGTACACACTCTGTTTTGTTCTGTTCTCACTCTGTTTTATTATTGAATTGTAAATAGGTGATACAGAATTCAACTGATCCACCATCAAAGAGAAGTAGGATCGAGAGGAAAATGGACAAGATCATCTACTTAATGTTTGGTCTTGTTTTTTTAATGTCATTCGTTGGATCAATCATCTTTGGAGTTGAAACAAGAGATGATAAACTCAAGAATGGAAGAACAGAGAGATGGTATTTGAAACCAGATGAAGCAGATATCTTCTTTGATCCAGAAAGAGCTCCAGTGGCTGCAATTCTCCACTTCTTCACTGCTACAATGTTATATAGTTACTTCATCCCGATTTCGCTTTATGTTTCGATTGAGATTGTTAAAGTTCTTCAGAGCATTTTCATCAACAGAGACATTCATATGTACTATGAAGAAACGGATAAACCTGCGCAGGCACGGACTTCGAATTTGAATGAAGAGCTCGGTATGGTTGATACGATTCTATCCGATAAAACCGGGACTTTGACTTGCAATTCAATGGAGTTTATCAAATGTTCTATCGCGGGTACGGCTTATGGACGCGGTATAACTGAGGTTGAGAGAGCTATGGCTGTGAGAAGCGGTGGTTCGCCTTTGGTTAATGAAGATTTGGATGTTGTTGTGGATCGGTCTGCTCCTAAGGTTAAAGGGTTTAACTTTGAGGATGAAAGGATTATGAATGGGAATTGGGTGAGACAGCCTGAGGCTGCCGTGTTGCAGAAATTTTTCAGATTGCTTGCTGTGTGTCACACGGCAATACCTGAGACCGATGAAGAGTCCGGGAATGTCTCTTATGAAGCTGAGTCTCCGGATGAAGCTGCGTTTGTCATTGCAGCTCGAGAGTTCGGGTTTGAGTTCTTTAACCGGACACAAAATGGGATCTCTTTTCGAGAAATGGATGTTGTATCAGGAGAAAAAGTCGAAAGGTTCGTTTTTTAGTATTCTTTTCAATCTGATATAGTCTCTGTGATTCCCGGAGCTCAAAACGTCCTCTGTTCTTGCAGGGTTTATAAATTACTAAACGTTCTTGAGTTCAATAGCACGAGGAAGAGAATGTCGGTTATTGTAAGAGACGATGATGGGAAGCTCTTGCTGTTGTCTAAAGGAGCTGATAAGTAAGCGAATTGAGACATTAAAACACATTTTCTTAGACCTTTTGTTTCATTATAAAATCTAACTTTGAGTTTTGTGTGCTCTTTTTAGTGTGATGTTTGAAAGACTTGCAAAGAACGGTCGTCAATACGAGGCGAAAACCCAAGAACATGTAAACCAATATGCAGATGCAGGTCTAAGGACTCTAATACTTGCATACCGCGAGGTTGATGAGAATGAGTACATAGAGTTCAACAAGAATTTCAATGAAGCTAAGGCTTCGGTGAACGAGGATCGTGAAGCTTTAATAGACGAAATCACGGATAAGATGGAACGCGATCTCATTCTCCTTGGTGCTACAGCTGTTGAGGACAAACTTCAGAATGGGGTATGACTTTAATGAAAGCCTATATAAAGCTACAATTTTTTTGACAGTTTAGGTTTTTTTGGAAGTAACGGTTTTTCGATTGATCGGTGTTTCAGGTCCCGGAATGTATTGACAAACTTGCTCAAGCTGGAATTAAAATTTGGGTTCTAACTGGAGACAAAATGGAAACAGCTATCAATATTGGGTATTGAATCTTGAATCTTCTTCTTATGTGTGAAAGCATTAATATTCTTGTTTTTGTGTGTGTTTTCTTGGTTACTGACTTCAAACATTTCTCTTGCAGATTTGCTTCTAGTTTACTAAGACAAGAGATGAAGCAGATCATCATCAATCTTGAGACACCTCATATCAAATCTCTAGAGAAATCTGGAGGCAAAGACGAAATCGAATTGGCATCAAGGGAAAGCGTTGTGATGCAACTACAAGAAGGAAAGGCCTTACTCGCTGCATCAGGCGCAAGCTCTGAAGCATTTGCTTTGATCATTGATGGGAAATCATTAACCTACGCCCTCGAGGATGAAATCAAGAAAACGTTTCTTGATCTTGCCACTGGTTGTGCCTCCGTGATTTGCTGTAGATCATCACCTAAACAGAAAGCATTGGTACAATATTCAAATCTTGATGACATTTCTCATGTTTTTTCCAGTTTCTAATGTTTTGCTTCTAACAATAGAGGTTTATTTTCGGGTTTCTAGGTTACGCGACTAGTTAAGTCCGGAACTGGAAAAACAACTTTAGCAATTGGCGATGGAGCGAATGATGTAGGGATGCTTCAAGAAGCAGACATTGGTGTAGGAATAAGCGGTGTTGAAGGAATGCAAGCAGTGATGTCTAGCGATATCGCCATTGCTCAATTCCGATATCTAGAGCGTTTATTGTTAGTCCATGGCCATTGGTGTTACAGCAGAATCGCATCCATGGTAAAATGACTGAAACTTTTCCCACAAAAACATGTCTTTGATTTCATCATTCATCTCAATCTGTTTCTTACCCGGGTTTTTCGCCTTTTGCAGATATGTTACTTCTTCTACAAGAACATCACCTTCGGAGTCACAGTGTTCTTATATGAAGCATATACTTCCTTCTCTGGACAACCTGCATATAACGACTGGTTTCTTTCTCTTTTCAACGTCTTCTTCTCTTCTCTTCCCGTCATTGCCCTAGGAGTCTTTGATCAAGACATCTCAGCTCGCTTCTGTTACAAGGTAGGTTTAGGGCTTGAGATTCTTGAAATCTGTATGATTCCCTTAAAAAACAGAGTTACTTACCGTTATTGTTTCTGGCAGTTTCCATTGCTATACCAAGAAGGTGTGCAGAACATTCTCTTCAGCTGGAAAAGGATTATTGGATGGATGTTCAATGGATTCATTAGCGCTCTCGCCATTTTCTTCCTCTGCAAGGAATCTCTTAAACACCAGCTATTTGACCCAGATGGCAAAACCGCAGGCCGGGAAATCCTCGGCGGAACAATGTACACTTGCGTCGTGTGGGTCGTCAATCTCCAAATGGCTTTATCAATAAGTTACTTCACTTGGGTCCAACACATTGTGATTTGGGGATCAATAGCTTTCTGGTACATCTTCCTCATGATCTATGGAGCTATGGCTCCAAGTTTCTCTTCCGATGCTTACATGGTCTTCCTCGAAGCCCTAGCTCCTGCTCCTTCCTACTGGCTCACAACTTTATTCGTGATGATCTTCGCTTTGATCCCTTACTTCGTCTACAAGTCAGTGCAAATGAGGTTTTTCCCTAAATACCATCAAATGATTCAGTGGATTCGGTACGAGGGTCACTCTAATGATCCTGAGTTCGTTGAGATGGTGAGGCAGAGGTCGATTAGACCCACCACCGTCGGATACACCGCGAGAAGAGCCGCTAGTGTACGGCGCTCCGCTAGGTTTCACGATCAGATCTATAAGGATCTTGTCGGTATCTAAAGAGTATAGAATTGTTTCTCTGTAAATATATATACGTATATCTCTAACTTGGAGATTAGGGTTTCTTTCATTGAGATTCCTTGCCACAGAAGGCATCTGTAATTTTATTATTTACACGGAAATATAATGTACATAATTTTTTAGCTAGATTCATGTATTTTTATTTTTGTTGTATTTAGAATTGATCGATTATTAGAAAAATAAATTTCATTTGATGATGATGGTAAAATATTAAAATGAAAACAATTAAAAATAACGGAAACAAATTCTCAGAAAAAAAAAAAAAATATATATATATATATATATATATATATACTTTTACCTGCTAAGTACAAAATTAAATCTAGAGCCTTAATTGTTTTCTAATTATATTTTATGAATTTTTACCTTTTTATTCAAAAATGTGGAAGTAAAATCCCATGTGTCCACTGTCAAGTCCAATGTATTTAGACCACACAAAAAAGATAAGACAGCAAATATTGGAATTTTCAAACTTCAGACAAAGACATAAAGAGAAGGATCCTGTGAGGTTCGATGAGATGATTATTTAAGATATTTTTTCCATCATTGTTATGTTTGATTAACACTTTTATCACTAGATTACTTTTAACTTTGCGAAATTAAATTTAGGTGTTTAATCTAAAAATGTTGAATCTTTTTTTTTTATTATTTTTTAAATGTTGAATCTTGCTTATATATACTTTCAAAGTTCGTCAAAAGTCAATCTTCATATGACATTTTAAATTATTTAAGTATTACCAAGTAAATTGTTTTACGTCACACCAAGGAATCATAAACAGATTAATGAAAGATTAGCACATTGTTAATTGCACAAGTTGCAATGGCAGGAAGAAAAAAAAGATTAATTATAAAACAAAACAGAGAATTAATCAAGAAGCGGTTAATCCAAGAAAATCAGCAGCAGATTTAGCCATAATATGAGAAAACTCATTAAAACTAATAACACCGTCACCGTTAGAATCAGCTTCCCTCATCATTTCCGTTAATTCACGGTAAGTCAACGGATGTCCCATTTTAGCCATTGACCCAGCAAGTTCCGCCGCCGTGATTGAACCGTTACCGTCACGATCAAACGAACGGAAAACCTCCATTAACTGTTCTTGATTAATCAAAACCTCTTCGTTAATATCCGGCAATATCGCGACAACGAGCTCGTCGAACTCGATGGATCCGTTACCGTTACGGTCGATTTGATTGAGAAGAAGAGAGATTTGATCGCCGCGAGGTTTGATTCCGAGAGAACGGAGGAGAGCGGCGAGTTCGAGCTGTGTTAAGCTTCCGTCGTTGTCCATGTCGAAGCGAGCGAAGATGTCTTTGAGTTGTTTGATTTGATCGGTTGGTTTTGTTGATGCCATTGATGGAGGAAGAAGAAGGAAGAGATTTTTTTATTTTAGGGTTTTTTTTTTTTTTAAGTTTGGAGATGAATAGTTTCTTAAAGTAGAAGAAACCGCGTTTTTGGAGACGAAGTTGAAAATAATAATAATAATTTTATTTGAAATAGTAAATTCAAAATTTAATTACATTATCTATAGATTTATAGATTGGTGGTACTATTTCAATTATTGATAAGATATTAATATGTGGAGACAAATTAAAGAGGGATTGACGGTGAAATCATTAAATTGGAAATTGGGTAGGAAGCACATCACACAGCTATATTCTTGTCTTATAATTATGTTTGATTTTTTTTGAATTTGTTATTGTGATAAATATATTCAAATGGACCGTTACCCATTCTTTTATTTGATAGTTTAATGTTTTAATTTACACAGGGTGTTATTTGAGAAAATTCTTTTAGTGATATGAAAATCAATAAAAGTAGTAAATCTAACTAACCTACTAATTTTTTTGTTGTAATATCTCTAACATTTATAAAAATAGTTGAAGTAGGGTTTCTTAATATCATTTACCATATAAGAATATAGTTACCATTCATTCTTCACCCTCCGCATTAAACTTATAAAAAAGTTGTTTATGTTGTGCAGTTGTGCTTTAAATATTTGGAATTTAAAATTTTCAACACCATTTGGCACTCAAAATTCATTATGGTATTTAATTTTGTATGAGGTGGATATTAAAAGAGCATGAAATTGTCAATCATATGAATTTTTCTTAAAGCATAGTATCATTTGTTAAAAAAAATTTGGCCGGTATAATATGGATTTATTAAATTTGGAACAAGAAAAAAAAAAAAAACCTATAGTGGATATATTTATGTCCATTAATTTCAACATAATTTATGTGAAGTTGTGAATATATAATCCAAGGAGTAGAAATTTTCTTCGATTATCTCATAACGACTTACAAATCTTAGGTCAAAGTTGTCATTAACACAACTTGACATTGACGAAGAATTTTGAACCCTCTCTTGTCCCCAGAAGCTTCCAAACAAAAACTCACCATTCTTTGAAAACTCCTCTATAGCTTGTTCAACTTCTTCAATACACCCAAAACCTTCCATCTCCATACTCATCATAGACTCTTTTCTCCATTCCAAATCAACCTCGGTATTTTCTCGACATTCACAACAAAACCCCATTCTTTTTATTCTTCGATTTATCCCCCATTTTGTGTAACACTTTCTTGTGTTCTTGACAAGCTTTTGAGGAAGTCCAAGGAAGATGAAGATCGCGATCTGGAGCACAAGACAGTTGCAACAACACGATACAACGACGCAATCAGCTGCAAATGTGTTAAGATCTTCCATGGAATCTTGAAAGAGAGAGTCGAATAAGAAATAGAAAGATAAAAGAAGATATTAAAGAACAAACTAAATCCTAACATATTTTAGTAATTTGGGATATTTGGTTTGAAGGAACTCCTTTGTTCTTTGCTTCTATAAGGAAGACATTGGGAAAAGGCTAATCAAAGAAGCAAATATAATAAATGAAGTTATATGGAGTACTATATTAGCTAATATAATGTGTGAACAGAATTTGTGAGATTACGATAATCGTGGCTAATTTTCCTTGAATAACACTCTACATTAAATTAGCCATTCGATCATGATATTCTTTTTGGTAGGGTATGGACGAAAAAAATGGTTTTTGATACAATTATTTAAAAAAAAAAACATTTCTTAAATGATCATGTGATTACAAATCTTTTTGGAGATTAGCAATTGAAATAAAATATGAAAAGTTCATATTAATTGATAGAATAGATGTGAATCCTATAAAGATATGACGTAATTCAAAACTCTTTGTGGAAAGCTGTCCATTGACCATTGTGTACACGCTAAGTATCTTTTTATAAACATAAAAGCATAGGCTATGTGAATCGGAACATGAAGATAGGATGACACATGATACGTTTGGCAAAAATATGCATTGACCTTTTTTTTTTAAAGGACCATGCCTAAGTATGGTGAAGATTAAAAAATAATAACAACAAAAAAAGACAATTATTACCAAGATGAAAATATATAGAAACAAATTGGCAAGTAAGACAAACAAAAAAACGTTTTAAAAAAATAAACGCTTTGCCTTATGAAATTTTGGAAATGCTTAAAGCAAATATCCAATCAAGTAAGCCCAAAATTTTGGAAATGGATATTTTTATTAAACCCAATTTCTACAAGCAAATATCCAATCAAGTAAGCCCAATTTCTACAAGCAAATATCCAATCAAGTAAGCCCAAAACATGAAATTTTTTTATTAAAAACTAAAAAGTTCTAACTTTTAAATAATCATAATATTTCATATTTATCTTAACGAGTTAAAAAAATAAAGATATAGAAATTCACATATATCATATGTTTCCTATTGAAGTGCTTTTTAGTAGCAAAGCATTCTGGATTTCGAAAGGCCAAAAATTAATGAAGAGGAGATAGGCTTTAAGGCCCGAAAAAGTTTATCAATAGCAGCCCACCAGATAACCATTACTTACTCCCATGAATTTGGTAGCAAAGCATTCTGGTAAATTTGGTAGCAAAGCATTCAGGTAAATTTGGTCTATAAATAACTAATTATTTTGAAAATATAATTGTATTTCGGGTATTTCGGTTACCCGAAATATTTCGGTTCGGTACCGATTCGGTTACGGTTATTTCGGTTATAGAATTTAGTATCCATTCGGTTATTTTCAAATTTTCGGTTCGGTTCGGTTTTTTTTGCTTCGGTTTCGGTTCGGTACATACGGTTCGGTTTATTTGCCCAGGCCTAGAGATATACAATTGAACTCTTAGAAAATTGTGGTTCTTTGTAAGTCAATTTGGATGCCTTTTAAGCCCATTCAGGAGACTAAAAAAATGTTGCATAAGATCAGTTGTGTTGCCCGAGGATTGTTGTGCGATCGGAAGGAAGAAATGGGTTCCTGATGTCGTCTTTTTTTTACCAACTAAATTAAATTCTATTGATTAAAATGTGAAGTTACATGGTCAGTGTGTAATACATTTGTTAACCAAGACGGAAAAAAATACAGAATTTGTGAAACAAGAGGTTAATGAACAAAACTAAATTAGCAACTCATTAGGCAGATTAGAAATTAACCTTCGATTTAATAGTGAAAACTCAATCCGCATAAATCGTACCGATCCAAACCCCACAAAGTTATATCCGAAAAGCTAAATAAACCTTTAATACATTGTATAAAACAATACTCCCTCTGTTCCTAGATATTTGATGTTCTAGAGTTTTAGTTTGTTCCACAAAGTTTGATTTTTTAGGTTTTTGTTTTATTTTTTATTGATTAAAATTAATATATCGTAAACTTCAAGATGTAATGATTAACTGTTTTCTAATACTATTGGTTCAAAGTTATTAAAAAAATGTTTAATATAAAAAAATAATTGACAAATAATTAAACAATGATTGCTTCTTAATATATGTGAAAACTCTAGAACATCAATTTTCTAGGAACAGAGGAAGTAGTAATAGTTTTCTACGAAAGAACTGAAACCGAGCCGAAAATGAAAAATATTGTATACAATCAAAAGGCTTTGAAAACTAAAACTATTTGTCTTAAACCATAAATCTTTTTTTTTTTTTTGAGCAAAAAACCATAAATCTAAGAAACCGAAAATCCGAACGCAAACGACTCTGATTTCGCCAAAACTTGGAGTTTGATGGTTGGATATATATATTCAAAAAACAAAAAACCATAATTATATTTTTTAAAAAATTAAACTAAGATTGACATCGGATCACACAAACCAGCTCCATGTTTCATTATTGGATCCAAATAAAAATTGTCACTTTCCTTAATAATTCATAAATTCATCATGAATCTCTATTATGATGATGAAGTAGTTGATGTTGATGATGTCCAAATATCCATTTCCATCCTTTGAAACTCTTTCGACTCTTACGCAACTCTCCTCCATCTTTCCGACAAGATCCTCCTCCTCCTCCATGTTCCAAAACGCCGTCGTTTACATCTCCTCCTCCGCCAGAAGAATCAAACTTAAGATCAATGAAACCAGGCTCTTCTCCTCCGGTGAAGTAACTACTCTCTTTCATTGACATTACCCTTCTCGTAAAGTTCATCGCCGCCGAATCACTTTTCCTCGCTGCCTCATAATTACTACTCCTCCGTGGATGATTCTCCGCCGTCGCCGGGTTGTTTCCTCTCCGACTATTATACTCTGTTTCACTAAAATTACTCCTCCGTGTAGGATACTCTGTTTCACTGAAATTACTCTTCCTCGCCTCGAAACCGCTTCTTCGCGGCGGCTCCGATTCACTGAAATTACTTTTCCGATTCTCCGTCGTCGTCTCGCTGAAATTACTCTTCCTCCCTCCTTCGAAATTACTCTTCCGATGCTCCGTCGTCTCGCTGAAGTTACTCTTCCTTCCTTCGAAATTACTCTTCCGAGGATACTCTGTTTCGCATAACCCTAATCCGCCATTAACACTTGAGCTTCTCGCGGCGGAGAAAGCACCGGAATACGACGAACCATCTTCTTCCGATCCGAGACAATACAAATCTTTAGCTCGAAAACTACAAAGCGATCTCGATCTCGAAACTCCAAGCTTCTTCACATCATTGTTATAATCCAAAACCCATGAATCGTTATTATTGTTCTTCTCAAAATCTCTCTCCTTTTTAAGATTAATCTTCCGGAAAAACCTACCGATTCTCGAGAATCTATGATTCTTCGTTCTCTTATTAATCTCAACACAACTGCTACTACTTCTCTTGAACACCACCACTTCCTCTGTTTTCCTCTGTTTCGTCTCTTTCCTCTGTTTCGTAGTCTCTTCATCGATGAGAGAAGAGATCCGAACAACGTTTTCTCCGGCGGCGGCGTCTACGGCGGCGGCGTCTACGGCGGCGTTGGAGGTTCGATTAGGAGAGATGTCGGAGCACGAGCAAGAAGAGAGCCGCTGCTCGCCGCATTCGGAGCAGACGAGGTTGATTAATCTGTCGTTGAGACAGTACGGACAAATTCCAACGCCGGAAGAAACAGATGGATGTTTCCGGCAAGAGAATTCCGACGGAGTACTGTAATATAACGAAACGTCGTCGTTTCGTCGTTCCGTTGCTGTTCTTTTTCCTCTTTCTTTCATTGCCAAAAGCAAAATAAAGAAACAGAGCACTTCACCAAAAAAAATCAAGAAACAGAGCAATACAGAGTAAAGTTTCCAAATTTGGGAATTTTTTTGTTTGTTTTGGTGATTGAAGATCCAGAGAATTGGAGATGACGATCGGATCTTAAATTAGGGTTTCTTTAAAACTTTATCTTTATCTCGGATTTTGATAGATGAGAGGATTTTTGAAAGAGTGAGAAAGTGTAGTGACGCTTAGCTATAGGCTTCAAGAGAGTGTTTGCTTTAGCTTTACGTTTTCTTTTTCTTTTTTATTTATATTTTTATTTTTCTTCCTCTTTTCATTTGCCCCACCAATTTTGTTCAAAATTTATTTCATTTTAAAATGACTGATTTTATTACTTTTATTATTGTTTATTATGTCAATTACTTCCATGATTATTGACATCATATCCTCAAATTTGGGCAAATTTTACGGTTAAAATAAAATATGGAAATTGATAGGGAGAATCAGCATTTGATTGAGAGAATCGAGAGAGGTGATTAGCATGGGGATTATGAAGTAATTAGGAAAATCAGATTGAGGAGATTCTTTAGAAAACGAATAATTATTTTGTAAAAAAAAAGTTAGGGAAAGAAAAGTAAAAAGAAAAAGGGTATGATCAAGAAAGCACCTTAGGGTTGTTTTTTCTTTTTGTGTTTTTGAATTTGGTAAAGCCGAGGACAGAATTTTAAATATCAAATTAGTAGTATAAGTTTTGGAATAGAAAATTATAATTACAGTTTAAGTTATAGTCTCTTGTGTAGGAATCAATAACTTACCAAGCGATTAATTTGAACTGTGTGTGTGTGTTTTTTATTTTTGTAGTAATTTATAGAATTATTGTTAGGAATTCAATTACGGTATCAATAAATAAGACAAAAATAAAAAAAGGTCAAAAAATTTACTAAACTACAAAGAATATTGTTTTGTTTTAATTTTAAGATAAAGGTAGAGCTATATGATTTAGACAGAATGGCATTTTCAATAATAAGTCGGTTCTAGTCATTTTGTATGGCTGATTGTATACGAACATGCACGTCAATGTTTTAAAATGTCGAAGCATATATATATAAAAACAAAAACATTCTTTCACAAATAGAAAAAAATGAAAAATATTATAAAAGGGAAAAACTTAGAAAGAAAAAGAAGAGAGCGACAGTAAAATTAACAACAAAAATGAATAAAAAGAGGAAATATATGTGGAGACGAATGAACTCATGCGTTTGCCGTTTGTGCTTTTAGAAGCCTGTATTAATTTTGTTGTCGATTTCTTAACTAAGGGGGTGTTATTCGTTAGTGAAGTTAAAGTCAACTCCTTTAGAGTTAAAGTTTATCAGATTTCAAATGTTTTGGGTTCATTGAAAGTGAACCATTATTCATTTTGTCAAATACATGGAAGTGTATTTTCAATGATACGTGATCTCATTTGGTTTTCTATAACAGAACTGAATTCAATAACAAATGATTTTTATAATCTAACCGAAGTCCAACAAAACTTTTGACCATTTTTTTCTTTTCTTATTTCAAGTTTTTCTAATGTTTTGAAGTTTTAACAAAAAAAATATGCTAAAGAATTTATTCATAAAACTTTGGTGATTTCAAATTAAAACTTTAAAAATAAATAAAATAAAAATAAACTTCAAAAAATGCAACGTGAAAACAACCTTAAAAAATAAAAAATAAAAACTATAAAAAACACATAAAAACTATTGAAAGAGTACCTTGGGGAACCTTGGGGAACACTTTGTCGAGAAGAAGGAGAGAAGACGTGAAAGGAAAAAAAAAATTTTGGTTATTCTCATAAATGAGATTTTATAATTATAAAAATATGATAGTAAAAATCTTGAGTAGAAGGTAAGATTTTGATTGCTATAATTTACACATGAAATCAGTTTCAGATTCCTTCATATCTTTTCAAATCAAAACATTTGTGAAATCTGTCAAACAACCAATAACATGAAACTTTAATTGATCATTGTAAATATGATAACCAATAACACTAGATTTCAAACTCTTTTAATATAGATATTAGAAATATGAGAACCAATAACACTTGATTTTAAACTCTTTTAATATAGACATTAGAAATCTGAGAACCAATAACACTTGATTTGAAATCTGTATTTTCAATCTGAGAACCAATAACATTAGATTTGAGTTAGAGTTAAACTCTATTAACATCCACTAACGAATAACACCCCCTAAGTCTATAATCTATATCCTCCACAAAGACATACAAATATACATGCAAATAGTTTATATATATATTATATACATTATACATGCAATTAAGTATGTGAATTGATATCTTAACCTTTTTATTCTGTTTGTCGTGAAATCCTGATTTTATTCTAAATTGTTTAATATAGATATAAAAATATTTTTAAATTAGTGATACAAATTGATAAACTTTATCGGTACTGCTAATTTTTAGCACTTTTGTGATTGTTAATTATTGAAATAGTAAACTTTATCTCGCTGCTACAGTACGGTTACCTATAGGCTATAACCTATTAAAACCTAAATTATACTAATTTTGTTAGATTGATTTTGTTTTTCTATCTATGAATAAACGAAATAAGTTGTATCAATAGTTTTGAGAAATAGACAAGATATGACTAGTTTCGTAGGATCTATTTGATTTTTCTTCTTCTTCTTATCATAGTCTGTTTAATGATTAAAATTGTGCATGCTTTGTCCTTTTCAGTTTTACAATTTAATGTTTTCATTATATAACATTTTTCACTAACATTATCTATACTTTTAATGCTATGATAATAATTCTTGGTAAATATATGAATATATCTTGTGATAGTGTGTATTTTCCGATCTGAAAAACTATAGTCTAAATATATGAACACTAGAGTCAAATCAAACTCATTCCTTGTGTTACGTGTTACAATAAATACTAGAATCATATAAAAAATATAAAACCAGCAAAAATAAGTTTGACTTTCGTAAAAAATTAATTAATCACCAATCATCTATTGAAAGCATAACATATAACCCGAGGCATGCTATGGCCCAAGAACATCAATTTTCTATTTTAGGTTGATTTTGGTTACACACTTTTTTTTTCATACATGTGTCGTGTGTTGATTCTACAATTCACAAAATATAATAAAATAAATAAATACTTGAAGTGGAAACGTGAAAATTTTCGAGAATGTTGGGTCTCTATAGAGTTATGGGACATGGACTCGTGCCTTTAATGTTTAACGTGACGTCGTAGACTACGCAAAATATTTTGTCCATTGTCTTTAATGTTTTAAAATTTTATTATATTTTATACTACAAGTCTACAAACTCTCATTCAACATTTTGTCCTAACGAGCAATCTTATTTAAAAAATTGTATAAAATTGTAGAATCATCAATTAAATATATTTTAACTAAAACTGTAAAAGGCATAATTTTGCTGTTTTTTTTACTAATTGTATAATTATAAAGAAACAACAAAATTCTATATTATTATTTGAGAAGTACATAAAAAGAATAACCTTGCCCTTTGTAATTTTACTATTTTAGGACACAGTATCAGTCAGATTTCATAAACTTAACCATAGCGTCGGGTGAGAATAAACTAAATCATAATAATATCCAAATAACCAAACGTAGAGGTTTACTGATTGAAAAGTTTACTCCAAAAATCTTTTTGTTTTACAGAGTACGAGATTATTTTTGTGGTAAAAAAACCTAAAATTTTATGAACATCAAATGATTAATTTGAGTTTCGATTTAGACTTTTTTCAGTTAAATATATTTTAAAAGAAAATTGGCCAAATTTTTAGATATAGATATAGATATATATATACATTTTGATAAATCTTTTAAAATATAAGAGGAATATGGGTGGGTAAAAAAGTGAGATAATGCAAAAGTCAGCACGCCCTAGGCAGCATGCTTGAGCAATAGACATCATTTGAGACATGTCAATGTTCTAAGGTATGTTTTGTCTCTTTTAAAAAAAATTCTTCATTTTTTTTACATACACAATAAAGAAAACAAATTTGATTATTTTTATCTGCGTATCTCTATGTTAAAATATAATCATTGTGTTGTATTGTTCCGTTGCTCATTTAATTATATTGTTTGTGTTTCATGATTGGATTATTCATTCATAAAGAGACAAGATCTTGCTTTTCTCATTTACTTAATTTTAATTAATCTTTTCTACACATTTTACATTTGGCATTCCAGTGTCGGTCCGGTTTGGGTATTTCTAAACCGGTTGTAAAATCAGCCGCACCTTCTCTTATATGGGCTTGAGCCCGAGCACAGAGCAATGGTTTGAAGTCTGAAACAACTTCCTATAGTGTCATTTGTTTTTGTTTCTTCTTCTTATCAAACGTCAAACCAACATCTCATTCGATTAAATGATCGAATATTCGAATGTGTGGATGTTTTTGAGGACACCAATGTTGTTTATTCGAGAAAATGAACAAAATCCTCATTCTTGCATTTTGAGCAGTAAGAATTTGAGATTCATGAAATAAAGCTATTTTAAAAAGCCAAAAAAATTGGAGTTTAAAACCCAAGAAATCACAAGTCCTGCGGCCAAGGCAAACCATTGTTATGAAGATCGATCATCGAGATTAAATCGGTTCAATCCATCTCGAAAGAAGATGCAAGTGAAACAAAGATTGATAAGGCATCTCTCATTGCCCGCAAGCCATAGGCTTGGAGTGGAGAACTGAGAAGCATCAGGGGGATCATTTCAATATCAGCTGGTGATCACTAATTGAGCCTTCCATATTAGTATATTACACACCATTCGAGGCCCAAACGTGTCAATTATAAGAATGATATATCAGGTAACCAAATAGAAGTTCCACCCTCATCAAAACATGTAAATAGAGTCTATACTCAATCTCTTCTACTTTGAATATTTTTTTTTTTCAGGCAAAGTAAGAGAGGTCCATAATTCCATATCTTTAATGTCAACCAAACCATGTGATCACAAAAAATGAAATCTTACTATTTTTAACCATAAGTATTATGT